CATTTAAAACAAATACTCTATTTAGGACACATTTACCACTCTCTACCATATTCTGCACATTTTGTCCAATATGCAAATGAAGGGGGACAAAACAACAATTTTTGTTTGACTTGCACAAGGTACATTATTAGTATTTATCTGATCTTGAGTATTTTTACTAACTTCACATGTTCAACAAAACTGTGTCACATGCAGCCAACTGCGAGGAATACTAAAATATTTGTTAAACTAAAAATCACGTTTGTGAACTCTCCATTGTGTTTTAGGAAAATCATACTGCTTCTCATGTTTTACTCTTTGTTAAACAGAACATTGAATAATGAGAATATAACTTCGATGTACTTTTGACTCAGAGTAGAGCAGACTGAAGAAATCAAGACTCACATTTATAAAAGGTAAAAGGGTTTTACAGTATTTACAAGGTCCTTGGGAGATCGTGTAAGGAAATGGGAGACTGGCAAGCAATTGGAGGCGGTTGAATATTAGGATTATTTCCAGGTGGAGTTATGTCTGACTTCTGTTTGTAATGGCAGTGTTGGAGAGGGTAAAGGATTCCAGGAGCAGTCAGCAGCGGTCAGCAACAAAGATGAGTAGAGGAAAGTTGAAGGTAAGATCGAGAGTGGCAGGACAGAATTCCACAGGTTGATGTGGCTCGAAGGCAGGTTCCAAAGGATGAATGGATGTGAGAATACAGGGAGACTTTAGTTCCACAATACGGCGGCACAAGGATCACAACTAGTTTGGTCTTTTCTTAAGGCGGCTGTGGCTGAGTGGTATGGTGCCAACGCCCTCCTGCTGGTCAGCATGAACATTTTTCTGTACGCTTACTTTGCTTGAATGAAGGGTCAGACGTCACACCGATGAGCCTCTGCTTCCTCTGCAGCGACTGAACTGGAAACTGGCTGCAGTGGCTCGTGGGGGTCTGTCACTAATCGACTTTTCTTTAGATTTCACCAGGATCCTTAACACGCAGTTTTATTTCCTGATGTAAAACCAGTTGACTTAGCTTTAGAAATAACTGCATAAAACATTTAAAACTACTACAGATTATGTTTTCCGAATTTTAACAACCTTTTGATTGATTATCTGCATCACTCGCCTTTGCTAGAAGGAAACTTAACATATTTTGAAGCTCTGTTCTGTGGAAAACCTATAAGCGATTAATATCTTACCTGTTGTAGATGGCTTTTTGAATAACCTCAGTTTGAAAAAAATAGAGTTTAATTTGGACCAGATTGACGAGCTAACGGCTAATCTGAGCAGAGCTGGTTTCAAAGCAGATTGTTGCAGTCTTAAAAGATAGCTTCACTTTTAAAAGTTTGACGTAGTTCATTTGAGCACAATTTTATAAACTTTTGCAAAACTGTCAGTTTTATTGGGGACTGCTTAATAAGGCAGCCACCTATTATTATCCACCTGACAAGGGTTTCTTAACTTGATATCTTACTCTTCTGTCAACTTTAATGCGGCCTGAACCACAACCTGTACCTCCACAAATGTTATATTAAAACGGCCGGCTCGACACAGAGATGTGTGCTATTACTTTTATTGGCATTTCGAGTTACCGTGGCATCATAATTTACAAACAAAGATGCCATTTTTTAGTCATTTTTCATAGACTCTCGTTGCAAATCAAATATCCAAGATGGCCACCTGAGCTAAAAAGGAAAATTACTGTAAGTCAGCCATTTTTAGAGATATTAAGCTGAAATTTGGTGTGGTAGTAGCTGGGAGCCAAATCAAAATTTCAAGATGGCCACCATAGCTTAAAAGAAAAAAAATGACTAAATTGTTTTTTTGCCATTTTAAGCTGGAATTTGGTCTGGTGGTAGCTGAAAGCAAACCCCAACACATACCAACAATTCTATTTTTTTTTTTTTTTTTTTTTTATGGCTACAAGGTAGCAGTCCCCGTCAAAGTTTCTCCAGGAACTTTCTAGTTTTGCACTGTTATTCCGGCAGATATATTGGGGTATACTTACAGAAAGTGCTGCAGCTAGCTGCTGCTGCTGCCACTATTCATTTGCAAATATCCAAAGATTTATGTAAATAAAAGTGTCTAAAAAATAAATGGCCAGCTTTGGAAAATAAAATAGCATTTGCATGAACGTGTGTGAAGGTTTTGAGAGTGGAGCAGTTTTACGGCGACATCTGTCCACTTTGGTTTTAGTCCCTCTCTGACGAGCTGTTAGCTCATCAATCTGGTCAATATTAATCCTAATTTTGCCAAACTGAGATCGTTCAAAAAGTAGGTTCAACAGGTCTACAACGGGTAAGATATTTATTACATTTTCCACAGAGCCCCACTGCATAAGATTAGAACAGTTACTTTAAGTTCTATTAATTAGAATTAATAATAACAAAAATAAAAGTGTGGCACATTTGCTGAAATCTTTTAGGATTAAGAAAAAATATATATTTTTCCCCCTCAAAAGATTTTTAAGTCTATTAGGGGAGATACTTTGCTAAAATTAGTAGTTTGCTGTGTTTTCAACAGTGTGAAGTTTTAAAACAGAAAGTAAAGTTAACTTTGAAACTAAGAGACGTTCGATGTGAAATGTGTGCGGTCATAAATGACCTCACAGGAAAGAAGTGCTTCAGTGAAAACTACAGGATACAGTGAGAAGTGTTTATTTCCCATCACTCATCAACGTCCATGAAATAACTGCAGTGATATTTATCATCCTTTAATTAAAGCCTATTTCAACAGTTTAAGGTTAGGTTGCAAAAATAAATCATAAGGTTTCAAAGCCTGATTTGCATAGAGCCATCAATGAGCGATATTTAATCAAATTATTAGACATTAATTTGGATGTTTTTCAGGTCATAACCTCAATAAAGTGCCACCCTCAATATGTAAATAGCTCGTTAGTTGTCACATTTTAACACAAATTATTTTAAGCTACCTGATGACAAAATGTATATTTCATATGTATAAATCAAAGATGAAAAATGTGTAGGTCAAACAAATTATATGGATACACAGGACTTTTTTAAATACATTTCATGACTTAATTTTGTGTAACATATAATTCATCAATATCTAAACCTTTTTTTTTTATACATTTCTGTTGAATGTGGCTTTAGTTTTTTGTTTCTTCCTTTAGTTTGTTCATAAATCCAAATGTTACTTTCAGAACACAAACACTCTCAGTTACAAGATTTTTATTTTTTGTGAAGTAACTTTAAATTAATTTAAAAATATGTCTTACAGTATGAGATAACAGCTTCACAACAGTTTTAATGTTGTTATGCCATTATTTCTAAGTAAGTTATTTCTAAGTATTATGGAAAAAAACTAGTGTTTCTTGCAAAAAAAAAATGTCTAATAAAAACATCTTCACTTCTCCATTGGTGTTTTTTTTAAGTTTCTGACAGATATCTGCAAAAACACATACAGATGTGCATAAATTTGAACATCTGAAATGTGTGCACTTTATTTACTCACATCAAAACAAGTTTTATGAAAAAAGAATTACAGTAAAGAAACAATCCGTTGATTCTTGTTTTAATGTGTGAAATGTCAGATGTATATGAGACAAACAAATCTTTTGTTTCTGAACTGCTTATTGTGCAGCAGCCATCTCAAACCAACAATAAAACCAGAAAAAAGCAATAAAACCTTAAATCTACATGTTTTTGATGTCAAAAGATGATACTACTATTAAAGAGATAGCTCAGACTATTTGAAGTGGAAAGGTTATGAACATTTAGCATCTTACCTGTTGTAGATAGCTCTTTGAATAATCTCAGTTTAGAGAAACTGAGTTTAATTCTGAGCGGACTGACAAGCTAACAGCTAATCCGAGCGGGACCAAGACCAAGCTGCCATCTTGAAACAACAAATAAGAAAATAATTTTTCAGCAGTTTATGCAAATGCTATTTTTCAAACCTTTGCCATCATTTTTCATTTTAAAGTTTTTTTTTTAACCAAAAAAAGGCTGATTTTCCCACAGATCAAAAACATGCATGTTAGGCTGATTGCTAGCTCTAATGTGTGAGCGGGAGCAAGAATGGTTGTTTGTCTTGTTTGTCTCTATGTCCCTGTGATGGACCGGAGACCCATCCAGGTGTCCCTCGCCTCTCACACAGTGACTACTGGATATGGGCACCAGTGACCGCTGCTGCACGAAAAGGAAGAAACGGGTGAAGATAAGTGATGGATGGTAATATTCAGACTGGAAGCGTTTTCCAGTGGTTCCCAACACTGGTCCTTGAGGAACACCATCCTGCATGTTTTAGTTGGCTCCCTGCTCCAACACACCTGATTCAGTGACGTAATTACTTCATCAAGTTCTGCAGAAGCCTGTTAATCACCTGTTCATTCAAATCAGGTGTGTCAAAGCAGGGAAACAACTCAAAATGTGCAGGATGGTGTTCCTCAAGGACCACGGTTGGGAATCATTGTTTTAGGCTGCACAGGAAGTGTAGCTAGCTGCTGCTACTTGCAAATAACCACAAGTTTCTATATAAATAACCACATATGCAAAATGAAATGTAAAGATAAAGTATATAAAGTTGCATGGACTACTTTAGCATTTTAAGAGTTTTATCATCGTTTTTAGATGGCAGCAACTCACTCTGGATTATTAGCTAATCTAGCCGGTCAGAATTAAATTCTGTTTCTCCAAACTGTGGTCATTCAAAAAGCCATCTACAACAGGCAAGATGATCATTGTTTAGAACCTTCCCACCAAATCTCAATGGACCTGGACTGTTACTTTAAGCGTCTGTGCAACCCGTTGGTTCCCAACCCTCCTCCTTGAGGAACACCATCCTGCATGTTTTAGTTGCTTCCCTGCTCCAACACCTGATTCAGTGATCTAATTACTTCCACATGTTCTGCAGAAGCCTGTCATTTACCCATTAATTAAAATCAGGTGTGTCTGAGCAGAGAAAGAACTAAAGCATGCAGGATGGTGTTCCTCAAGGACCAGAGTTGGGAACCCACATTTTTAAAGGCATCAGTCACTGGGCAGGTTGAAGCACGTCTCTGGGTGTCAGCACAGATCTGAAGGTCAGCCGTGGAGCTAGTGGAAGAGCGGCTGAACATATTCTGGAGGGAAGATGCCCACCCGGCCTCGACAGCGCCCCCTCCAGCCCAGCGAGTCTGAACAGTCCAGAAGGTTGATGACATCTCCACGTCTAAAGTGGAGGTGGGCGGTTTGAGGGGGGGTGTAGTCGCAGAGGGCATGAGCCAGACGAGGCTTCTAAGATAAAAAATAATAATAACAGGATGTCAGACACACAGGTGTGAATTTAACAGAGCTGATTACAAGAAGTCATTCATTGTCATACCTCCAAAACTGGTTTGAGGTTAGAGTGGGTAGAATGGATTGACTCCTGCGAGGTGCTTCTATAAGGGTTGGGGTACGGGTTGTGTCCAGGATGGGCCTGCAGCCGAGGGGACGAGGGAAGATCTTTGAGGCGAACCACTTTCTCTAAGGCGATACTGTTTGTTCGGTAGAAGTCCACCAAGCGGTTCAAGGAGCAAAACGACTTGTCCCAGATGAAGTACTGACCACCCCCCTCCAGGACTCTGAAGTGCTCCACCCTGTCGCCATAGCTGCGAAATGACGGGGCAGACAAAGAATGAGATACAGCCAAGAGAGGAACTATGAGTATGTGCCCTTTGCCGTGCAGCACGAGCGTCTGCATCTTCTTCATTCCTCGGTTCGGTTGTCTTTGTCGACAGGAATTCCCTCAGTCACACTGCTCAGACCTGTCGGTGTGGGAAACGAGACCACAAACCTCTGCATGTGCACCAGCGTCGCACGCTAAACAGCTTCATGAGGCGCACAAGCGTCACATCGTAAATGCACTCATCTTTCTAAATGTCAAACATCAATCGATTGAAAATGCACGGTCATCCATCCTGGAAGATAATCTCAGGATTTATCCTCCAGACACCATCGACCACCACCATTACGTTACTGGAAAACTTACAAACATGAAAACCTTAAAACTTGTCTTCTTACGCATAATAGCCATCAGAATACCTGATGGTTCAATGTACCTTACCTTCTTTACCTTATATATGCTTCCATTAGGTAATGTTATTAAACAGCATGGGATAAATTGTCATTGTTATGCTGATGATATACAGTTATATTTGTCCATGAAACACAATGAATCCAATCAGCTACTTAGACAACAAGCATGTCTTAAAGTCATGAAAACCTGGATGACCCTAAATTTTCTGCTAACACAGACAAGACAGAGGTTTTATCCTGATGCATGCTCAATAATCCAGGTAGAAAAATCTAAACAAGTTAAATCTGGTCCTCTGGACATTCAAACGAAAAAACAAAACAAAACAAAAAAAATGTAGAAATGTTTCGTCTTTCGGATGAAAGACGAAACATTTCTACAATTTATTATTTTTTATGTCCAGAGGACCAGATTTAACTTTTTTAGACTGAGGTTTTAGTTTTTGGACCTGAACATATTAGGAATACATTTTTCAGTCTTTCGCCCTCTTTAGATCCATTAATCTGGCCTCCAGCTCTAATGTTAAAAATCTTGGTGTTATTTTTGATCAGGACATGTCTTTTATCCTCCACATCAAAAACATTACTAGAACCACCTTCTTCCACCTGCGTAATATCACTACAATTAGAAATATCTTATCTAAAAATGATGCAGAAAAACTGGTTCATGCATTTGTCACATCTAGACTGGACTATTGCACTGGTTTGTTATCTGGGTGTCCAAATACTTCTTTAAAAAGTCTTCAGTTAATCCAAAATGCTGCTGCCAGAGTCTTGACTGGAGTTACTGGGAGAGAGATCATCTCTCTCCAGTTTTAGCTTCTCTCCATTGGCTCCTTGTCAAATACAGAATAGAATTCAAAATTTTACTTCTAACCTACAAATCCATCAACAACCTAGCTCCATCTTATACTTGCAATCTTATTGTTCCATATTTTCCTAACAGAGCACTTTGCCTTCAGACTGCAGGTTTACTCGCAGTTCCTAGAGTTTCCAAAAGCAGAATGGGAGGAAGATCTTCCAGTTATCAGGCTCCTCTGTTGTGGAACCAACTTCCGCAACAAAAAGCTGTAAGAACGAGAACTGACAGAAGTCGAGTCATTTTGAAGCTATGATCATGCGTAAATGAGACGTGCCGAAATATTCCAAACACTGATGGGAGAACTGTCAAAACTGATCGCTAAATTTAATCGTAATTAAAAGGAATATCAGCTATTTTCTAATTAAACATTTAAGAAAATCCTGCATTAACCCCAAAACAGTCAATTAATAATGTAGAAGTTGTGTTAAAATTCAAATAAAAACATTGAAAAATAGCTCCTTTTATGAGCTATTTTGGCTTTAAAATAGCATTTATATGAATTGCTGTCCAAAAAAAAAGATTTTTGACAGAACAAAAAAAAGGTGTTACTTTTTGTTTGTATTCTTGAATATTTTTGATCACTAGCAACACAGTTCAGATATTTATAACTGAGCGCTTTACAGTTCAGTCAAACAATAAAGTAAGACAACAATAAAAGCAAAGAAATATAAGAAAGATTCAATATTAAGTTCTTCTACTTCATATTGTGCCGCGCAGTTTAACACATAATACATTAATAAATTCAGTTCAATGAAAGAGCTGCAGTCTCTTCTTCTTTATGTTGGTTTTCACCTGTGATCCAAAGCATGTTTCTATTTTATTAAAAAATATAATAATTTGCAACATTTAAGCTGAGTTTCAGACGAAGTGTATTATTTCATGACACTTTATGTCCATGAGACATTATCGCCCTCTGCTGGTTACTTTTGGTATCACAAGCTAAAATGATCTTTCAGCTTCTCACTTTGCACATCCTCCTTCACTTCATCCATGATCCTCTTCTGAGGTCTTTCCCCCCTTCCCTGTGTGTGCATGTGTGTGCTTGCACCAGTTGCATAATATACCTGTCTATAATTAAAAAGTGGCTGGCGTTACGCAACACCCCGATTACTGAGCGCATTTCATTTACCCTCAGTCATTAAATGAGTCCCGTGTCACTTTGGTGACCCAAATACCTCCTCCTCATTCTCATACACTCCGTCTCCCTTCACTCTGTGCGTGTGATATTATTTTTAGCGCATTGAAGTCTCATAATAAAACTGCCTGCTGATGGGGCAAAGACACGTGGACGCTGTGAGATGTTAATGATCTCAGTGAGATGGAAAACAAACATCTGACTCACCGCCCACAGTAAAAACACGACATACAGTCAGTATCTTCTATGAAGGCTCATACTGGTTTGAAAAGTTAATCAAGTGTAGATGTGCATCCTCATTAGAGGTGGGCAAAACGACCTGGCCCTAAAGACAGAAGCAGGTGTGTGGTGCATTCACTGACCTGACAGAGAGAGAAAACTCTCCAGGAGCAGATTCACTGTCCCGCACCAGAAACACTCCAGTTTCATGCCGGTGCAGACACTGCTCAGCCTCCAGCCTGGACACTGACCCTGCGAACCAGCTGCAGAGACGGACAGAAGTCACCTCCAGAACCGCAGCCACACTTTGATTTAACAAGTTCTTATTAGAAGCCAGGACTAACCAGACTGAGGAATGAAACACATTTGCAACGAGGGGTTCAAATTCACTACATTTGTAAATACACACTTAACATGGAAAATCTGCAGACATTATTTAAAATATGAAATTTATTTTTTTTTACGGATGAGGGAGAAGGTAAAGGTAGTTCTCCGGCACGTAGCCTCGCTTCCCCTGGACCTCAGCTGTGAACCAGCAGGAGTCTTCCTCCATCTCTGTCACCTAAAACACAGAAAGACATGAACAGACTAACAGACACTCTGAAAGCCTCACCATCTATACTTACTTTGACCACGTCTCCCTTCTGGAAGCTGATCTCGTCTGGTTCTGATGCTGTGAAAGAGAACAGAGCCACAGCCTCCATGATGGACAGAGAGGACAGAGACAGTTTCACCTCGTGAGACAAGCAGGCACAGAGCTGTAGGGAGAGATAATGTGTGTGTGTTAGTGACATGCTGCTGCTGCTGCTCAGCTTGTGTGTCCTCCTCTTCATCCATGTGATGGAGTTACAGTTTTTGTAACTTTTATTTATTTACATCAAAATAATTAACTTTATCTACAAATATTTCCCCATATAAATGCAGAGAGATGCCTTCAGTTCCTTCAACAAGTTATTTTTTAAATCAACATCATCATGCTTGCTCTATTTGTGTCTGACTTTTAGCTGACCTTTTGCTACTTTCAGCTTCTAGCTGATGTTCTGCTGCTTTTAGCTAGCTTTCTAGCTAGCATTTGCTGCCTTTAGTTTTCAGTAAGCTTTTTTGATACTTTTATCTAGGGGGTTCAGCCTACCGTAGTATATTAACCTTTAACTCAAAATAAAATACAGACTTCACAGTTTTTTTTTAACCATATTGCTTTAACATTTGCTATATTTTCAAAACTTAACCTAATATGAAATATACAAACTTCACAGTCTTAACCATATTGATTCATATTTAGTAAATCTTTAACAAATTTCAAAACCTGTGCAAACCTGCACAAAAACTTCTGAACTGTCATTTATAAACCAAAATAAATTGTATCATTTAGAACTGGCTCCAGGTGATGTGTCTCATCTGGTCTCTTCAACCTGTTCAAAAGACAAATTACATTAAGTATGTTGTATAACTTGTCTAAGTTTTAGTATAATTTGAGAAAACAGTTCCCTATGAGCTGCAGCTGGTAGCTTTAATCAGAGCTTCTCTCACTTTATTCTTTGTTTCATGGTGGAGGTGCAGCTTTATTACTAAAAGGCTACGTTAAGGAAAAACGTATGTTGGGTCCAGCGTATTAAAAATAATCCTAAACCCCTGACCTTCCACTGAGCTGTCTGCTCGTAAATCCTTTGGAGTGAAAAATCTTCGCAGCCTTTGGGGAATCTGCTGGAAGTTTGTTGTAGAGCTCGCTGCTCGGCTACTTCGTTTTCACCTTCCGTGCATTTTACCATATTTCCAAAATACTGTACCGCAATTTTATTTTACAGTTCTTGCAAACAACCGTGCTCTTGTTAAGCTCTGTCTTCCCCCAGAACATTGTAGGATCTGAAATTATTTTTAAAGACGAACAAGCGAGTTGAATCGCGCTATCGTACGGTGGCCTACACGGCCCAATTCTACGGCGGCCGAGCGGACACACGAACTGCAGTACGCTCGGGGGTAGGAGCGGGGAAAAAAAAACTAAACAAAGCACCCAAAAAAACCCCCCGCATTTTAAAATCGATGTATGGGCCTTTATAATCGATTCATAACTACAAATCTAGATTTTTTTTTTTTTTACAAAAATTGATGATAGTGATGATGTCATCAAACTAAATGGAATACAGGAAATTAGAAATTTTTTTGCTTGTTGACATCATCACTACAGCAACATTTAACTTGATGACATCAGCACAATTAGCCTTAAGTTTGATGACATCATCACTATGTCATTCTTTGATCCTTTGTTACATAATAGTTAATTGAAATACTTTAGTGAAAAGTCTGAACGTCATTCTTCAGTGAAACGTAGAAAGGACAGAAGCATTGATTCTTTTACAGAGTACTGAAGGCGTAATGTGTTTGAAAATGGCTGGATATTTGAAAAAATCTTCTCCAAACTGTGTTGCGGAATCAGCATTTAAACCAGAAATTGGTGCTGATATCAGAAGTAAGTCAAGCATTTACACTGTCTTGCTTTCCCGAGTGAGGTAGGCACAGGACACGTGCCACGCCCTCACCGCAGCCTCTCCTCCAACTGGTCTCAAAACGTTGGTTACGTACTGTAACCCCAGATTCTATGAGTATAAGCGTAGCACTTTAAGGCCTTCGCTTTAGTGGGTTTATCCCGTTATGCAGAGCATAAGCACTGAAAAAATTAGTCCACGCCCACCTGCTGTGTGGGCCCCACCCGGTCCGTATAAATTACGTTAAGAGCGGGAAATCGGCTCCCAAAATAGCTTTTTTCTTCAGCCATTTAAGAGCCAGTGAGGCCCGACGCTTAAAGGGCTACGCTTATACTCATAGAATCTGGGGTTACAGTACGTAACCAACGTTCTATGTCGTATAAGCTTCGCCCTTTAAGGCCTTCGCTTTAGTGGGTAAAGGGCGAAGCCGATGTGGTCCTCGCCTCACTGGGTCCATTCGAACACAGTTTGACGCGGAAGCTTGCCCAAAAAACGTCTTGTCACTCAGCTCCCCGTGTGCATAACTACGCGTTACGTAATTATGTGCCATGCACAGACGCATGTTGTGTAACTATGCGTTCTGACAAAGCATGAACGCCCCGGAAAACTTTCAACGGGGAGAAGAAGTTGAAAAGAGGGGGGGGGGGGGGCATGAACCAACTGGTTCATGGCTGAGCAGTATAAACAGATTAATGTCCATGAATTGATTATTGATCAAATGAACTGATTGGTAACAATAATCATGAACTGATTAGTGACAATAGAACCAAAATCACAGACACGACTTGTGACTGATAACAACATCTCACACTGTAATGCATGCAGACAGAAGTGAGCTCAAACAGAGTTCCATGAGAACAACAATATTCATTCTGTTAGAGCACTAAGGACAGAATGTGTCATGGAACGAACCGTTACATCACGTAGGTAAAAGCGAATAAATGAACAGGGTGTTGACCATGCAGCCGCAGTGCAAATGTCCTGCATTGACATACCATTATGCAGAGCAGTCCAAGATGCGATACCCCTGGTCGAGTGTGTTTAGAGGTTGACAGGAGGCTCTAAATCTGATGCTCTGTAGGCTTCAGAAAAAACCTCACACAGCCAGTGTGACAAGCGCTGGATGGATAACGGGCGACCTGCAGAAGCATCTCTATAATGCACAAACAATTGTTGAGTTTGAAACGCATTGCAGCTGTGCGCGTTATGTAACACGTCAACGCCCACACCGGGCAGAGAAGATGAAAAGATGCTTCCTCTTCTGATCTGTTGGGGGGGGGGGAAGAAACCTCTCCAACGATATCACTCTTGATTTAAAAGAGCTCGTGATGTTTTAGGCATAAAAGCTGGGTTTGGTCTTAAATCAGCTGAGCTGCCCGTCAGCCTAAATTCTAAGGCATGACGAAGCAACAGAGAGGGCAGATAATTACTTACCCTCTTAGCGGGTGTTAAAACCAGCAGCAGGGCTGTTTAAAGAGACAAGAATTTTAAGTGAAAACCTGATCCAGAGGCTCGATTGGAGCTTTGATCAGGACTCGCAGGACCAGCGTTAAATCCCACTGTGGAGCAAGTGGGCGTGAAGCAGGCCTGTGTCTCTGAACATCTTTTAGAAAACGCTTCATCAGCGGGTGATTAAAAGCTGTTCTGTCTCCGAAACCTTCGTGGCAGGAAGAGATGACTGCAACGTACGTTAAAGCGTACTGAATGCCAACTTCCTAACCATCAGCTGTTGTAGAAAAACAACACGCCGCCTAAAAGGCACGAGGTGGCCTCTAAACCTTCTCTGTACACCAGCGCTGAAAAGCCGTCCCCTTGATGTGTACAGAACTGTGGTAGATGCAGCACGTGAATCTGAATTGTGCACACTATCTCCTGAGGGAGACCCATCCTCTCTAAGTGGGACCGCTCAGCGGTCAGACCCACAGGTGCTGACCTATTTCTGGGTAACTCTTGGTCGCTCCTCCTGCCTGAAGGAGAGCATCCTCCCTCCACGGCAGTTCCACGGCGACCCGACAACAGACGGTGCAGGCCTGGGAACCATGGTGCGTTCACACGCCAGGAGCCACCAGGAGAGCTGTCAATCCCTCCTCCTGAACTCGGTTCAGGAACCGTAAAAACAGACGAGGTAGGGGAAAAGAAACGCGTATAAAAGCGTTTTGGGCCACGGGCTGTGAGCAAATGCGTCCCCCCCCAGCGATGGATCGTCTCGCGAGCTCAGGGAAAACCGTAGTTGACACTGAGTGTTCTCTCGCGTCGCAAACAGGTCCACAGCTGCTTAGCCAACTTCTGCCACGTCTGAAAAACATCAAATCTGGATGGAGGGTCTGGTCCACGTGACGTGGGCCGCCCCTGGACATCACATCTGCCCCTCTGTTCAGAACACCGGATATGTAAACCGCTCTAATAAAGAGCAGGTTTTGATGAGCCCAACACAGTAGCTTTCGCGCAATGTGTAACATCTGGGCTGAACGCACACCCTTTGATGGTTATGTACGCAGCAGTCATCATGTTGTCTGTGTGAATCAACACGTGTTGATTCTGTAGCACGGGAACAAAGTGTTGAATCATATTCAGTGCTGTGCGACACTCCAAAACATTGATGTGGGCTGATGTGTGGTGGGGCCACAGCGCCCCCACTGCTTGAGATAGGCATGTCCCCCCCTCCCCAGCCTGACAGCGACGCGTCCGTGAAGACTGACCCGTGACGTGGGTCTGCTGAGGGGGACTCCCTCTGACAGAAACAGGGTGTTTCCCCAGAGTCGGAGGTCTGCTCTCACAGAGGAAGGGACAATGATCATCCGTCGTTTGTTTTACTGGATCCACATGCAGACGTGCAAAACCACCTCTGGAGGCGTCTCATGTGTAACAAACCAGCGGAACCACTGTGTGAGTGACATCATTTCCAACAGCTTCATGACGGAGACAGCTGTTATCACTTGCTAGGTCTTTACGTGGCTGAGTTGACTTTAAAAAAGTGTTAAATCTAGTTTGTGATAAACGAGCTTTCATGGTGGTTGAATTTAATTCCACTCCCAGAAAACAAATGTCTGGGCCGGGAAAATCGAGCTTCCTTCCAATTTATGGCGAAGCCCAGATTTAACAGGTGTGATGTCAACACCTGATCCTGCATCAGCGCCTCCTGTCTAAAGTGACAGGAGCAGCAGATCATCCAGGTAAAACAAAAACTCTCGTCTCTGTGTTAGGATGATCGGTATGCGTTCTCTGGATGTTATATAACAGATCCAAAAAACGGTCTCACCCCTCCGATCCGTGAGTAAAAACCCTGTGTTTTCTCTCCGTTGGGGAACTCTGTAGATTACTTTTATCAGAAAACACTTGGATTTCTGCATTTAGGGATGAGATTCAGTCTGATGATGACGGGACCGTTTTTATAACTCCTCTGAATGGAGGGGTTCGGGTTGCAAACTGTAACTTGTACCATTTGCATAAAACCTTGTCCATCCATCTGAAAAACGGCGAGCATGTTTTAGCCACTCTACGTAACGTTCGTAGGGTGAACGTGCGTTAAGTGATGTGTCATGTTTTGTACGGCTGTCAGCAGTCCGCCCCTCAACCGCCGTCATGCGTCGCGGGAATGTTTTCTGTGTGATCCCGGGCGAGACTTGAGCTGAGGCGAAGCGTGTGACAGCTGATGACGCGGTGGGGCTGCGCGTTTGACGTCGCTGTGCGAACGTTGAAAAGGCGGAGGGCGTGACTTCATTAACGCCGTGCTGTTGGAGTGAAGGCTGCTAGCCCCGCGGGAGCACACGTTGTTCTCTGGAGGGACGCGCGCCGCTCTCGCTGGAGGGGCGCGCGCTGGAGGGAGGCGGGACTCATTACCGGGTTCTTCAGCTGCTTCACGTTTAAGCTGCGGTGAGCTGCCGAAAGCTGAGACGCGGTGGGTGACGGCTGCCCGCGTTTGATTCGTTGAGACGGGTGTCGTTTCTTGTGAGAGAGAAGGACCTCCACCCGAACCAGCCTGCGGACCACATTTATACCGATGTGAGCTGGTAGCGCCGGCAGCTGTGTGTGTGCGCCAGCATCAACGCAGCGCCGTTGGATGGAGGCTGTTCATTTTAGTGGTCGACTCGTCATGTCTAGAGCGACGGTGAGTTTAAAACCCTTTAATTAAGGACACCGGCTCATGTGTGGAGGCTGCTCTGTGATCGA